GTGTTTTCATTTTTGCTTTCTATATTTTTTTTATTGTTCTTTTCATTTTTATTCCAAATGCTGGAATTTTGAAATTCCTTCTGTTGTGCTTTATGTTTTCTTTTTTCATCATTTAGGTGCAGGAAACAGTCATTAGTATGAAAATAATTATGCAATTTGTGAATTTATATTAGAGAACAAATAGTAGATGATACTGAAAGAGAAGATTGATTAAGATAATATTTAGGATGCAAACAAGAAAGAGAAGATTGATGTACTTATAAAGTTGGAAATGTCTCACTGACATAGAAAAAGTAATATTCTTTTCTTGAGGTTGCTGATGATATGCGATCGCTTTTGTCTTCAACTAGTAGAAACTTAATAAATGATTAGTTAGGTCCATTTTCTTTAAACTTTAAGGATATTTTTAACAAACTTTGGCTAGTCTCATCTGTTGACTTCACTTGATTGATACTGGTCCATGGCATGGGTTATAGATGGTGTCTGCCTGCATAAATGCTGTGAAGCTAAAGGTATTGAATCTTAAGAAACCTGAAGTAGTAAATTATTCTGGCATCTCATGTATAGGTAACCTATCTTGGTACTTGATGCTTGGTACCTCACATGTATGGATCACCTATTCTTGGTACTTGATGCTTGGTATCTCACATGTATGGATTACCTTTTTTGGGTGCTTAATTATTGAAATTTCAGTTGTTATTGTTGGACAAAATATTGGAATTTCACTATATTTTGAAAAGAAAACATAAGGTCTATTCTGACTAAGAAAAATTAACTATATAGGAGAAGACCCTAGGTTTGGATAAAAGGTCATTCTCTTTATCTGATTGATATCTTGACACATTTATAAAGCTTCCTATATGGGCTACATCCTTTTGGTGCCTATATTATATTATACTAATTTTTATTGTTAAGAAAACTTATATGGTAGAATACCCATGTTGGAAACGAACTACATAATAAAATGTATTCTGCATTTCTAAAAATTATTATGGGAATAGTATGTGGTCTATATTCCCTGAACACTATTTAATTATTTATGTAAGCTACCAGATCTAAAAGCTTTGCAAGTGAGCACCGTAAAAATTTATACTTACAGTAGAATTAAAATATGCACATTCAAAGTATTGGAAACACAGTCATAATGTTTTATTTTAAGCTTAGGGTTATTACACTTTCCATGGTTTTTAGTTAGCTTCCTGGTGTATGACAGTTCACCTGTGTCATTTTGTTTCAGGATTGATTTCCATCTTGTACAACTCTTCTTTGCTTGCATGCCTTCTTTAGGTATCTCATTCAGCAGTTTAACCTATGTCCTGGTTCATTTTCATAATATTAATTGTTTTTATGCTTCTGTCTAAATGGATATTTCCTTTGACAGCTGTTTATCTGGTTGCTCAGTATGCACGCTCTGAAATGAGGAAAATGGATGCAGTGAGTTGGCCTTTCTCGCATTTCTATGAAATCATTTTTTCTGATGTGCCTTTATTGCTGGCAACGCCTAATATATGTACATTTTCCAGTGAAGTGGTAGTAATTGAATCGAACTAATTTTAATTTACTTCACATTACGCACTTTTTGTGCATGATGCTTTTGAAGCAGTTTTTACCTTTTTGGTATAAACTAGTCGTTGTCTACATTCTTCAATTGCGTAAGGAAAAAAGAAAGGAGGGAGGAAAGAAGACTTTTAAGCCGAAGCATGCTTTTGACCTCATGTATGTTATAGAGACAGGCTGGTTAGCATAGTTATTTTTCTCATGGAAGTGAGGACATTTAATGAGCATGGATAAAAATGCCAACATCATTGTTCATACAATTGAGTATTATAAAGTTCCACGCCTTTTTTCTCCAATTTTTTTTTCAAATAAAATTAATTTTTGAATATCTTTGGAATTTCTTGTGACGCAATAATAATCATTTTATGAAACAATCACCCAACTTTTCTGATGATGTCAGTCTCTCTGTACCAAACTTCTAATGATATCAATCTCTCTGTTCCTTGTGTGGTTACTCGTGGTTGTAATTTCTTTGTTGTGATTCTTTTGTTTTTTTTCTTTTTTTTAAATCTTAAATTGTTTGGCATTCTTTCTATGAATAGCTTAATGTATGACCTTTTTTCAATTGAAAAGTTGCTTTATGACTTTCTTTTATTTGTAATAATTACTGTTATTATTATTATTTTCACCATAATCATCATTCTTCTTGGCTTAGGAACTCGAGAAGAAGAAGCACGAAAAGGATGAAAAAGCAAAAGAGATAGAATTAAACGTCGCCCAAGAAAAAGAAGCAGAGGGTAATCAGGAGCTTCTGGAGGTGAAAGTAAGACTGGATAAACTAGAGGCGGCTGTAAAAGAAATTGTGATTGAATCAAAGAAAGAATCAGATAGCAGCATAACCAAAAAGCAAGAAAATTATGGTGAGAAGAAACAGGTTGGACCAACGGTCAGTGAGAATAATTCAGCCTCAACCAAGTCTGGGAACAAAGAGCAACTGATTAAAAAGGAATCCGTTGAAAAAGACACCAAGCTGGAAAGAAGGAAAGATTAGCAGATACGTGGTAGTAGTTGATCGTTCCCAGCAGGATCAGAAGTCAATGACTAAAGTGCAGGAGGGAGGGGAACGATGGGTGGTTATTCGCGATTCATGAAAAAATCTGGAAGTAAAATTTGGTATGGAAATGAAATGGGTGCTTGGCGCAGGTTCAATTTGCTTGTTGGAGGATATGTACGTCTTGATTCTCTGTTCTTTCCATCTTGCCAGCGATTGAAAAGGATGAACTTGGGATTCACAAGGGCGTGGTGGCATACTGTTTGACTGATGAAAGTTATTTATATCTTGTTTAGTTTAGATTTTCTTTCTTTCCAAGCATTTTTTGCTTGTTAGGATCAAATGGTTTATTTTTAGTCCTTTTAGGCTCCGTTTACTAAACTACAATTACTTTTATTTCTTATTTCTTAATTCATGCATGCATGGTAATATGCCATTATTTAGAAAATGATAGCATCGTGAACAATATTATAATTTTTTCAATATGATAGTAGTAAGGAAATTTAGATTGCTATTTTTGGGATTTCTAAGGGAAGAAACCTATTAGGAAACTATATCAATGCCAAATAGCTAAACTACTTCTAGGAAATATTGGAACAAGAAACATCTCATATATTATACACTTTTTAAGCGGGATAATTGGAATATATCATATAGCATGTACTAAACTTGTTGCAAGTGAATTTCCTATGAGCTCTTTTTAAGGATTATGTAAATATATTAACTAGTTGGTTTGCTAACTTAAGTAGTATGAATTCTAGTCCAAATAAGCTTCTTTCCAATAAAATGATGAATCTCAATATATCTAGTTCACTTTAAAAAACAGGGTTTGTAGCAATTTGAATGGCTGTTTGGCTATGGGATGGGAGGTCTATAGGTTGTGATTGTGAAAAACTTAGTTCGTCAAGAGGACAGAAAATATGAACCAAATAAATGGACAAGTCGTATGAACTATATATTACAATTTTGACTCAACACGAGATTTAACATATTTTTCTAAGATGTCATGTTACAAATCATAAAGACATAATAACTTACAGTGGATCAACAATCAAAAAAGAATTAACTGAATTAATATTTATATATACTGGATCAATGTATAACTACAATTCTTTTAAAGAAACCAAAGCCCTTATGCAATTTTAATATACATCAGATTATGTACAATCTGTTCTAATGACTAATACAAGAGAGTGTAAACTGACTTATAATAGTTGTAGAAAAATGTACATTACGACTATGTACAAATTAAATAATTGTATACATTCTTCCCATGATTTCAAATTTTTTCTAATCACAACATGCAAAAGAATTGTTAATATTCTATTAACTACTTTGGTTTGTCCACCTATTTGTGGGTGACATATAATAGATATATTAGTCAAACTTAGCCCACAATACTTTTTAAAAGTATTTTAAAAAATTTAATATTTCTATCACTAATTCTACTCTTAAAGATTCTATGTAGATGAACCACTTTTTTAAAAAACAATAATATCTTTGATATCATCAGTCTTATGACATATAAAAAAATGTATCATCCTATAAAATTTATTTGTCACTATAAGTATAA